TGTTACTTACAGCCAAAGAGTATAATACGTGTTACTTACAGCCAAAGAGTATAATACGTGTTACTTACAGCCTTTTCCCATGGTTCAGCCATCGATACCCATGAGAAAAAAGCTCTCTCTTCCAGACAACTTGGTAACAATAACAAAATCGAAAAAACATCACACACACACAAAAAAAAGAAAATGGTTTTAAGCATACGCTGGCTCCATACAAGAGAGATTTGTCATTCTATGTGTCTGTCCTCTTACTGATCATTGCTGTTAGCCAATCAGATTGTGAGATTACACTCTGTTATTGTAAAAATACTGATTGATTTTTTCCCCTTCAGCATGTTCCAGGGATGGTACAGCGAGGTTGTGGGACTGTGGAGAATCTAGATGTCTTGCTGTTCTGGCATCTTGTAGCTGTCCAATCAATGGATGTGCGCTTGGCTCAGCTCAAAATGTAGATTTAGGAAATGCAAGGAAAATCAATAGATGTAAATACTGGTATTAGGAAAGAATATCTCACATGTGATGGTGATGGAGGTGTAAACGTCATTCAATTTGCTTTTTCTATTCAGAGTTTAATCGTTGTATCCTTTTCTGAAGGTGAGAGAGAGGTTGGTACAGAAGGGAAGCTATTATTGCTGGCTAGAGAAGATGGCATTCTTTCAGGTGTAGGACTGCACTCACGTCACATGGTAAATCAGACTGCAAATTTCTAATTCATATCTAGGATTGACATTCAATTGGATAGCATGCCAGTAGCCTGTTGAAATACCAGCAAAGCATTCACCTAGATCGTTGCAGCAGTTATGGAATCACTAGACAGAGCACAGGTAGCCCAAGCTTGGTTTCTGTGGTGTCCTGTTATAAGGAAATGTATGGAGATTCATCAAAAATTTCAATAAAATCATTGAAACATGAAGTAAAGCCTCGAAATTTTACCCGATCATTGAGAAATAGCACTTGTTTCGCTCTGCGTGGTTATTTTTTGAATTTAGCCCGTTTTAAGATTTTTTCCCCACTAGTAAATAACCACGCAGAGCGAAAGAAGTGCTATTTCTCAATGATCGGGTAAAATTTCGAGGCTTTATTTCACGTTTCAATGATTTTATTGAAATTTTTGATGAATCTCCATACATTTCCTTATAACAGGACACCACAGAAACCAAGCTTGGGCTACCTGTGGACAGAGTACTATATGGTTTTCCTCTGTCTATGAAAATGTGCATTGGCTGTTTTGTGTAATCTAATGTTGTGTAAATGAGAAGAGCCCTCATATTATGGGGAGTTTCTAGTTGCTTAGAAAAGGTATTTTAACAGTTTTTGTTTCCATGTTTTTAGGTTTTTGAATTCAAAAGTCTCTCAGCATTTAACTGCTGTGCATTTTTATCTGAATATGAAGTTTGTGGAGGAACAGAGGATGGAAAATTATGGATATTAGATGTCAGAAATCCAGGGTAGGTAATGGTAATAATGCAAGACTGTCATAAGACCTCACCATTTTACAGTTAAACCGATTTCATTTATTATCTTTTAGTTCTCCCCTGGCAGTTGTTCAGCATTCAAAATCACCATTATTACACATCCTCCCATTTGGCAATGGTGGCTTTCTTGCATCTTCTGGTAATATTTCTGCTCTCTTTCATTTTCTTTCTTTCCTCTTTTTTTTAATATTTGCCTATTCAATTGCTTGTTTCTTGAAAATTTGTTTTTAAATCCATTCTTCTATCCATCCATTTTTGTATCCTTTTGTTAATTAATGTATCTTTCATTCCTTTGTCATTCATTCATTCATTCATTTATTCATCTCTTTGTTTTCATTTTTTATCTCTCATTTCTTTGTCATTCATATTCTAATACGTCCATCCCATTTCTTTCATTCACTTCTATTTATTCATTTTCCCATTTATTCATTTTTCATTTGTTTATTTATTCATTCCAGGTGACGGAACATGTTTCTACAGAGATGTCAATCAATCTCGACAAGACAGAAAAACTTCTACCTGGGAGCTGATTGGCCCAAATTGCGACCCAGTATACAGAATATGTCGCCATGGCAACACAGTATATACAGTATGTAGAGATGCTTGTATAAGGAAGTATATGTTAAGTAGTAATGTTTGTAGTAATGTATAGCTTTGTATTGTCACCTTTAGTGAATCATTAAAATGATCAAGAGTAAACTTAGGGTTTCTTAACAAATCCCCACCCACTGCCCCATGGGATATTCCCACCCTAGGGTATGAATTTATCCTCCATCTGACATGCCTCACAGAATATACACCATAATTTTTCTCCCCTCATGGGATGAAGGAAGTACGTTTCCCACCCCCCCAGACCTACAAGTGGATGTCCCCCCCCCTCCCCTCATGGGATGCAGGAAGTACGTGACCCACCCCCAAGGTACAAGTGGATGTCCCCCCTCCCCTCCCCTCATGGGATTCAGTAAGTATGTTTCCCACCCCCAAGGTACAAGTGGATGCCCCCTCCCCTCCCCTCATGAGATGCAGGCAGTACCCCAGTCCCCTCCCCCCACAGGATATATGTTATACCTTCCCCATGCCACAAGATAATAGAATATTATGTGCACCCCTGTTAATGAAAATCAGACAAGTAGTTGATTTTGCCTCATTTTTATTGAAGCATTCATTTGCAGCACTTAATTTACCTTAATGGATGTGATTTTCTATCATGATTATTATCTATCTACAGTATCCCTACTTAATGATCATAGTAAAGAGTCTGATCTCCTCACCCCTAAACCTTACCCTAGAAGGTTAATAATATAGAATAAAACAAGAATATACTATTATTGTTGTTTTTTGTCGTATTTTACATGCATGTGGTCATGTTTTATCGGTGTGATGTAATCTCATACTCATTCGGTTCGACAAACAACTATCATACAAATTGTGAAGAAAACATAGATTTACCCCGGGAAGGGTAGAGATTTATTTGGTCTTGTCTTGTCATTCATCAAAGCATCAGAATATACCTATGAAGATACAAAGTACGAAATTTTGTTTCAGAAACTAGATATGATCATAATAAATCATTATCGTAATGATTTAATAGGTTAAGGATAATGGATCTAATGGAGATGAAACTGGAATATAATTACGGACGGTTTTTTTAAAGATCATTAAACCCAACCAATAACAAGGGATAATAAGTTTGCGCCTTTTTGTGGAAATGTCAGATCAAGTTTCTTTTTGTAGTCCAGTGTGCGTAGTTTTGAAATTACCGAAAACATTTTTTGTACTTTCGTTTAGAGTTAGGATTAAGTAGATCAACTTACTATTTGTACCGTCGTTAAGAAGTCTTTGCCAGTGCGTCATCGGATTTCTCTATTTTATCTTTTTTCTCTACTTTTCTTTTTTCTTGGGTTTCTTTGCCGTCCCTAAATCTTGTTTGAGGCTTTGGATCTGATTCAATATCGATCACATCAATTGTTTTTTTCTTTTCTTCTGCTGCGTTTTCATCAAAGCTCCCTTGGTCCTTTTCTGCCAGCTCTTCTGAGCCAAAGCTTCCCTGCTCCTTTTCTGAGAGGTCTTGTCGGCCAAAGCGCCCCTGGTCCTCGCGCCCAAAGCGTCCCTGGTTCTCGCGGCCAAAGCGTCCCTGGTCTTCGCGGCCAAAGCGTCCCTGGTCTTCGCGGCCAAAGCGTCCCTGGTCTTCGCGGCCAAAGCGTCCTTGGTCCTCTCTTCCAAAGCGTCCCTGAAACTCTCGGCCAAAGCGTCCCTGAAGCTCTCGGCCAAAGCGTCCCTGAAGCTCTCGGCCAAAGCGTCCCTGAAGCTCTCGGCCAAAGCGTCCCTGGTCTTCGCGTCCAAAGCGTCCCTGGTCCTCACGTCCAAAGCGTCCCTGGTCCTCGCGTCCAAAGCGTCCCTGGTCCTCGCGTCCAAAGCGTCCCTGGTCCTCGCGTCCAAAGCGTCCCTGGTCTTCGCGTCCAAAGCGTCCCTGGAAATCTCGGCCAAAACGTCCCTGAAGCTCTCGACCAAAGCGTCCCTGGTCTTCGCGTCCAAAGCGTCCCTGGTCCTCGCGTCCAAAGCGTCCCTGGTCCTCTCTTCCAAAGCGTCCCTGGTCCTCACGTCCAAAGCGTCCCTGAAATTCTCGGCCAAAGCGTCCTTGGAGTTCCCTACCAAATCTTCCCTGTTCGCGACCATATCTCCCAGGCACGGAACCTCTCGAAAAACGTCCCTTCCAGTACTGGGGATCACTGTCTGGCCGACCGTTAAAAGAACGTGAAAAACGTCCCTTCCAGTATTGTGGGCTATTCTCACGCTTGGTGCCATCAGAGAAACGTCCCTTCCAAAACTGAGGGTCAGAAAAACGGCCCTTCCAGTATTGAGGATCAGAAAAACGGCCCTTCCAGAACTGTGGGTCAGAAAAACGTCCCTTCCAGTACTGGGGGTCAGAAAAACGTCCCTTCCAGAACTGTGGCTCATCATCGCTCGGTTCCTTCAAAGTGCTAGATAGTTCTCTTTTGTTATTCATAGCTTTGGCATCTGATGTAAGTACTTGGACGAGGACGGTCAGAAAGATTGTGACGTAGGAAACCGTCGTCATGGTTACACTGGTATACTGCGCACTACAACTAAAAAAAATGGGTGTGTAAATCATATGCACCGATAAAAAATTATTATCAATATATATTTTTATTATTAATAATATTATTATTAAATAAGTTATAAATAAAGAATAAATAAGTTGAAGAATAAAGTTTTCAGGTTTACAACACAAAGTGAGGAAAACAAGCAGCCGGCTGGCACGGAAGGAACGTCGAGAAGCTTCTTTAGTCACTTGGTGATGGACATTGTTTCTTTAACAAACCAAGACCGGCGGCGGCCCCAAGACTCTATACGAATAAAAAATGTGTCTTGTTGCGAAAAATTGTAAAGAAAAACGAAAACATCGAGGCGTTAGTCCTGCGAATTTCTTATTAATTCCTTCCGTTACGCTAGTTTTCGTTTTTAAAACGAGTTATTTTTATCTTCAAGTATCAATAACGCTGAACATAGAATAACCACGCGTAAACAACCCTTAAAATTATCACACCTTTGTGGCTAATTTTTGCTCATTATATTATTTGATAGATCCAAACCCGAATCCACTTAACTATACTTTCATTCACCGCGTTTATCATGAACTAAATAAGTTGTTTCTTCGTATTTTCATGCTTGAATGACTCTCAACCGAGCAAATATTACAATTATCTCTTCATTCAATTTTGTCATCAATGTTCGCAACAAGACATTTAGAATGTACTTCGGCAAAGATGAAACAACTGAAAAAAATGATTCTATTTTCTCATTGACACCCAAAAAACAAACCCTCGTTTGCACTTTGGCGAAGAACTTTTTCATTGTCCTAAATTTCTTAATTTCCTTCTATTTTCCCGCTTTGTTGATTTAAGAAAACTTTCATTCCTTTTGACCAAAAGAATTCATTACGGATTGGTTTATTATGCATTGATAATCTACTTTATCTGATATTGGTTCTTGAAAACAAAAACTAGATCAAGGTCATCAAGTTCTGTTTTTCTGGAAGTGAGTGTTGTTAGACTGAACAGAAAGGTGAATCAGAGGCTGGTTGACTTGAATAGGGCGACCTCGAACGAAAACCACCTGCGTCACATAGAATATCTTCATCTTGTCGTTATTTTTTTACTAAACTCAACGCAAATACCACTAGAAAACCAGCAAGTTAAGACTGACGAACACACATCAAAACGTCAAAAAATGTCTTTACACTAGTACTTTATATCTTAGCTTTACCTTTTAGAGAGGAAAACGAGAAGACGTTATGCCAAACAGAGAATTTCGAGAAGCGTAGAAGAGTGAGATGGTGGAACAAGACGGCTTTAGTCTTCCGCGAAGAAGGGAAAGAAAGAAGAAACCGACTACCAGAAACTAGTTTAGTAGGAAAGAATGAAAACTGTTGACGCCCTTCGGGGCTTTTATAACACTTCAGAAGTGAATAAAATAACGTTTCCATTGAAACAGAGATGAAAAATTTATTCTCAATCAATTACTTTTGCTTGCAATATGCGCCGTCTATTGTAGAGGCCTAAAAACCGAATCTTGAAAAAACTTCATGAAAGATCCGATGAGAGTCCTAATTAATATATAGATTGGGGATTTGTGTATATTATGATAGGTGTATTATGATAGGATTGACATGAAAATAACTTAATACAAAATGAAATGAGTTTTTAGGACGACGGAAAAGATTTCGTTTCAAATTTTATGGAGATATTCCCAATCGATTTTTTTTTTGTTCCAATTCAAACGTACGTTGACATGCAATAATGTTCTTATTAAATGTAGATCAACAGAGATCCTTGAACAACCGCACTGATCTGTAAACTTAATATGAAATCAACGGGTCCCACAAGATATTGCTCTCAGTGGCTAACGTTTGTAATTAAAAACGTCTTTTGAATGGAATGAAAAACACCTTTACAAATGCTGGGTTTTTGAACTTTTGGCATTGATTAATCTTGGTATTGGGTTTCAATGCCTCCTTTACTTATTTCATCAAAAAATTCTCACCCAGGCCAGGAAATTCAAGTTCAACGTATCCTTTAATCTTTCTTTCTCTCTCTTTTTCTTTCTTTCTCTCTAACTCTCTAACTCTCTCTCTCTCTCTCTCTCCGTTTCTCTTCTGCTGATAATAACGGTAGCCACACCTTATAGTCTCTTATTTAGGAAGGAAAGAATAATTGTCTTGAAATTAGTTTGGTAAGAGAAAAGAGTTTGTCTGACGTGCGCGAACAGGAGAAAAGATTATTGTGTCGATTGTAGGGCGATCCCGGTTGGGTAATTGAATAGCAGAAGTACCGTTATTGGGTAAACTCACTGATCAACTAATATCATTATATCGTGCCAAAAGGCAATTAGAACTACTTCAATCTAATTCTACCATATTCGCTTCATTTTCATACCAACATTGAGCATCTTTACTTTAGATTTACTCATCATTCCATCGCGAGAGGCGCTTAACAATTCAGTTAGCCGGAGCGAGCCCTTTTTTGCGTCTTCTTAAGCTCTTCCTGTTTATTGAAATAGTTAATAAAAGCATTTTGAACAAGTTTCAAGTCTTTCAGTGTTTCACACCAGTCTTATCAATCAACACTTGGTGAATAAAACCTCTATGTATGAGTATAGAAATTAAAACATCCGTGATCAAAGCAAAGCTAGACTCCCCGTTGATTTTACGAAGTCAAACGGTTGGGAAAAAACCTTTCAGCGCATTTGTAATCGAATAAAGCCCAAGAATTCAGAGTGGTTTTCTTTTTTAATGCGTCTTTATATACCTTAATCTAACGAACTTAAATTGAGGAAAAAAATGAGATATTTTATTTATTTAGTTTGTGAGTTGAAAAAATAAAAATAAAAATAGAATAGCAGACTTTTTGACTTTCGGCATTTTGATCTTTGCTCAACGCCTCCGCAATTCTTCCACTAACACCTGCATCGTCGAATTCGTTCAAATATTCCTACATTTTAAACTAGATTTTTCTTTTAATTTTTCATATTTAATTTTATTTTATTGATAAGGAAACAACATTTTTGTGGCATCATTTTAAAAATTTGTTGAGTTTTAAAATTAATTAGCGTATTTCAAAATATCTCAGTATTTTAGCTCATTGTTTCAAGTATGGAAAGTCAAGAGAGACTTGAAGTGTATCACCATTACTATAAATATCATCATCATCGTCATCTTTATTAAATTATTATTTCTTATAACAAAGATATTGCATAACCTATTGCGACGTTAGTTTTCCCAAATCGCCTCAAAACTACCGAAACGCAGCTAAATTCCTGAAGATTGAGGACCAATTCATGTTTGCGTATAGATTCATCTCCGTATACCAACCCACGTTACCCGAAGAATTAACTTAGAAACTGTTATGATAATATTCTGATTAAAAACCTTGTATTGAACGGTTTTATTGCGAAAACTAATGATGTCAAACCGTGAGGAATTCCCTCTTAAATACAATCATTCTGGGCAAAATTAAAAGAGGTAAAACCATTTTAGATAAATGGCCTTTAGCAAGGATTTACTGAGTTGAATTGGGCTAATAATGTAGATAAGAAGTAGTAGAATAATTGAAATAGTTTCTATCTAGTATTCGTCTCCTTTTCGTATCTGTTGTCTTCTTCATAAAAAATATTTTGTTTTTAGTTTCATAAAATCTAAAGAAAATCATGTATTTTTGAAGAAGGAAACTCAAAAGTATAATTAAACATTGCTGTAAAAAAAAAATATCGAGAAAGGATCAACGCAATAATGTTCAAGAGTTCTACTTTGAAAGTGTTTAAATATTAATGACTTACAGTCGTTGGGTTCTGTGAATGTTTTATCGCGTAAAGAAAGAGATATTTGAATGCCTCGGGTAAATTGTGACTTCTGTCTTAATCTTTGGACCTCTAACAATACTCAAACAGATCTAATTAATACTTTCATTTAAAACTTTTGTCTTTGTCCTACAATATTGTGAGCCTGAAGTACTGGGATATAACTATTCTATTTAAAGTAGTACAAGTTTGAACGTCAGCATAACGACGGATGATAATATGCTTAAACATCTATTTTCGTAACTTGAACAAGGAAAAATAAGTCACAAACAAAGCTATACCATTTCAAAATTACCAATGAATCAAAAAACTTAGTTGTTTTAGTTGAGAAATTCTTATTAGAAGTCGATAAATGGGAAACAAATCGGCAAAGTTTGTTGATGTCCCCAGGAAAACACCTGTTCAATCAGCTCTGCTCTTGCCAAACAAACGCAATACTCTAAACACTCAAAAAGTAAACCCGTTTCCTCTCAATTTTTATATAACCTATTTATTTTAAAATCTCGCTGCTTCTTTCTTGCCAGTAACTATTTTATTCTTTGAAGTTATCTTCAGATTGGTTCATTTTAGTCTTAGTTAGAGTCGTAAAAAACTTCTCAAAAATTTCTATGAAGAATTCAAAAGTTTACACAATTAAATAGGCCAATGACAGGCAAATTTGAAGTGGTTACAAACGGAATATTTTTCTGATATAAAAAATATCGCAGGCCAACGAAAAGTAAGAATCGTTCGTTTGAGTAAGTTACAGTTGCCTCCCCAACTTACCATTCATCGACCCCACCTTATCGTTATATTAAGAATTGGATGAGAAGTAAAGATACGTTCAAGCATTTCTTACCTACGAATTACTTGATTCTTGTTAATATATATATTTTTTGCGGAGCTCGTACCTGTTGTAGTTACAAGCTAAAACTGTGACAATTCTCCCTTGAAGGTCCAAATATATCACTTTGTAAGGTGCAAATATATCTATTGTATTCATGCAAATGAGTGGGCGCGCTCACTCTGACAGTACTTGGATACTGTCAATTACGTAAGTCGTCAATTGCTGTAACAATAGCGACGACACGAGCTTAATTAACAGGTATATGGATCAATTATAGCTGGGTTTACTAGAACGATACAGGTGCTTTAGGTAGAGCAGTGGGCGATCTACCGTTAGATTACACCAAAACATTCCCAACATGAAATATTGAAGAAGTTTTATCATGAAAGTCAATAAAGAGATTACAGGTCGCTTATCGTTTGCAATTACTCGCAGATCAAATCGGTCCCATTTGACCGATCAAATGTGTCTAAGCACGCTCAAATTGCAAAGCGGAAATGATTTGTTTCCTGTTGAAAATGTAGGGCGGGGCGGCCTGTTTTAGTGTATTTTGGCTACACTAGATACATTTATGATATGGGGAAAACGTTTAGTGGTTGATCTTAAACTCAAACCATTCTGTTTCCACAGAATGCTGAGTAATTGTTACAGCCTATTTCAAGCTGAGTGGAAATTCTCCCGATTAACATCCCACGCGCAGAACCGCTTCACATACCAAAAGAAAATCACAAAGACGAGAAAGATTAAAATGGTGCAATGTCAATAAAGCCAGAATAAGAAACTCTTGTGTCAAGTCAATCACAGTTGCGGTATTAATGCCTTTGTCCCGCAAAAATCCGCGATTTTTTAATCAAATTTTGCGGTCATGGCTCATAGCATGGTGCTTGTGGAATATCTGTTTTGTGAACTTACTCCCTTTGCGAACAATTATCTGCTGATTATTGCGATATTTGGACGTCGAGATACTAATATTGACGCAAATCAATGGTTAAAATAAAATGCTTAAAAAATCGCACGCATCTGTTCCAACAAGCATCTTGTATCCCACTTCAGGCGAATATTCAGCTTCAAGTGAAATCTCAATATCAGAACATTAATATGCTTTTCGGCTTGGAAGTCACTTGGCCAAATAAGCTTGCTTGTAAAATACTGGAAATCTATTAGCTGTTTTGATCAGCACCCTGCGCRGTCCGAATACAACAATCCTTTATGCGAAATCCAGAATTTCTTKTTATCAGTCTTAATTGGTAGGGATTAAAAAATCAACAGTTATATGGGTTCATAAATAAAGAAAGACCTTGTGTCTGCCTGCCTATGCTCATAAAATGAAAAATTCAATCGAACAAATACTCTAAGAATGCTCTTAACTTGAAATTTGAATAGTCCAATTATCGACTCCCATGTCCTCGCTCAATGGACTTTCTAAGAACGCCAATCGCTTGGCTTTTTAGCTCGACATATTCAATGTTATATTTGTTTCATGACATCAAGATACGTTTACATACACCCTAAATTTAAGAGTTTTGATTCAACATTTCGCTAATAAATAAAAAAGAGCGAAATGGTAGCTTTTATTTCAAAAGAAATCGTTTGGGACAAACAGAGAAGACGATGCGCGCATTGGGGGATAACTAGGCAAATTGTCGTAAAGTGATTTAATTTATTGATGAATATATATAGCAGCCGTAAGGCAAGCACCTAACTAGTACAGAACATGGAGCCTTGTGTAAAGAAAATAGCTTAAT